AACAACCGATGCCTATGGATTCTTTGGTTTTTCACACTTCCAGATGTTCTCGTCGTACAGCCTATATCAGCCATCCGACACAAATACTAGCTTATCACATTATTAAACTAGGGATTCTGAAATTCTAAATGGCTTTCGTTCACGGGGAAGAAAGAAAGGAGGTTGTGTACTTTGGTTTCATACATTCAGGTGCTATCTGGTTAGCTGTTATGAACAGCAGTTTCAGTAAACTGAAACAAACAGTTGTAAGAGATTGCCGGTCCCACATTTCTTTCTAAAATATGTAATATTGGTTTACTCGGTATGTTGGTGTTTCTTTAGCATATAGGCAACTTTTAATAGTCGTAAGAGTAATTGATTGATTTATAAATCTTCGTTATAATTTGACCAACAATAATGGTAAAATACACATTATTACGGTTATTGTTAATCGAACTCTTATATTCCATACATTGTGAATAGCGTTAGCCAAGTGGTTTCAATCTCACTAATAGCAAAGGACTTTCCTACTCCTCTGCAAGTATATCGACCATTCACTTGACTTTACTCATCTACTCGGCAGTAACAGAATTTTCCTCTTGCTTAAACCTGTGATTAAGGCTTGTTCAGATCCCTTCCGACCAAGCTTTGTCGGTTTAACATTTGTCTACAGCAGTTTGGTTTACTTCAGTGTATGTCCATCTTGATCACACTTCGAGTAGCTGGGTTTCGAAGACTTTCATTCAAGGCCCCGATCTACTGACGGCAGTTTACAATATTTTTGTCAACTGATGACCTGTTAACAGAATGATCCGATTGCCCTAGAAGGTGGGTGGTCAACAGGGTCACGTTTGGTGCACGTGTTTGAACTTTCGTAAATTTCCGGAATAGGCACTGACAGTGATCATGAGACCCAGTGTAAAGACAAATCCACTGTGGTCCTAAGGCAATTCGGTTAAATAAGGGAATTGTGACGCCAACCCCACCCCATCCCCCACCCTAGAAACACACCTACCAACAACGCGGACTCACTTCACTCCCCGTAAAAGTCGCAAATCATATAAAACAACAGATTCAAAGAGTTCTTCTGGTCACATCTGACGTAGCAATCGGAGAGGCGAATCATAGTCCCTACTACATTTTATGTCTCGTAAATGCTAAATAAATGAGCACAATATGCAGTCCATAATGAAATGATCATGTGGTTCAGTGAGTTTGCAGTCATCATTCATAGAAGATGTTGTTGTGAACGTGAACAGTAAAAATATTCGCATGTGAAACCCGCAAAGGCTAGGGCAAAATGATTGTACAGAATATTTCAAACGAAAGGCAATTTGGCTCTCCGTTACGATGTAGTAAGCGCATTCACCATATAAGGTGATGACAAGCAAACAAATAAGTTTGTAGTAATTTACCTCTGATTTGTAACATCCTCGTATCGAGCTGAATGCTGATGAAACCGACTTGGCTTTTATGGGATACGGTGACCGTCGTTTTCTCTACCATTTTCAAAGCGTAACCCAATGAGTGACCAGAACAATTGGGCACGTGATTATATGAAATGAAAGGTATCTGTTCGTCTGAAGTTCATCATTCATGTTGTCCGTTATTGTCAGTATCGTGTGAACTTGCAAGTGCAGAGCCGTAATACCCGGAAAAAGAGGACCACAAGTATCTTGTAAGCTCAAAGATTGACGATGTGGTGAATCATCGGACAGCGGCCAACATGCTTCCCGATCGGGTGCTACTATAACCCCCACTTACATCTGCCCATCCTACCTACACTTGTGTTCACACTCGTTGACTCAGTCGTGTGACACAATACACGCACGCACACCTTTGACAACGCTTATCACTTATGCGACACCGACGCACTATGACAAGGCAATCAGTTATAGGACCATACACGCACTCACCGCGTCTGTCAACTCACCACTCTGACCCATTCGCGCATTTATGAACCCAGCCAATCAATGTACCTTGTGACATTCGCCCATCAATCTGGGTGACTAGAATCCAACACAATCGATTACGCATCGGACTATTAGGCGCGATCTCTGTGGATCATATAACGATGTCCATTTACGCGGGCTCTGGAAATCTTGATGTAAATATTTCCCCCTTTTCACCATTCATTTATGCCAATCTCCTATTTACATGTGCTAAATGTTAATTAGTTATTTCTCACAGAACCGTATTGATATTCATATACGTATCCCGTACGATAAGGTACTTACGTTTTGTTTAACTCAACTGGGATTACGAATAATCAAGGGAGTGATCAGACCGAGATAAAATTTACTCTAAGTGAGATCCACGGAGCTTACAGATATGTTTCAGACAATCGTGGGTCGATGTCTCCATGCAGAATGGAGGAGTACAGACAAAAAAAGGAAGTTTTGACGGCGGCATATGGGATAACCACTTCACGGTAATACCAGGACGTGAACCAGGCTACTTTGGTCGCCCAACTCATGGGACTGGTTGTTATGACTTCTGTTCATGTCAGGATAATGCTTGTCATCAATCTTCCGAGCATATTGCACTCACAATCGCACTCATCAGAAACCAGCGGAGCATTTAATGAACTTTTGTCGGCTTGTTGATCTTTGCAAGTAAATCCCTGATGGAATATGTGTATCGAAATGAAATGTTTTGGATCAAATACGTAGCACGCTTGATTCCTATGCTTAAAATAGCTGGCAAATATATGCACGCTGATGGCACTAGTCGTACGGGATGTACTTCCCGTTGCATTGCAATACAATTTCACGGTGCTGATAATCCTTGAGTGGTTCAAACTGAACCAAAAGTGAGTGGCTAAATCACACACATATGGAAAAAGAAAATAAATACAACTTTTGTTTCGATGAAACTGGTGTTAGAATGTACAACTTACCTCGCCACATCCGACAAATGTGGAAATTCTCGTCGCACTTCTAACAGTTCCGGTCGGTGTAAAGTCAGTTGCTAAAACAGAAAAAAGATTATGAATCGATAACGCAGGCCTTTCTAGCGGTCACAGTTTACCACGTAATTCTTTCAGAGTATTTCCTGATCAGCGAGTGTAACAGCTATACGACACAGGTGCCCGGCTTCGAATTATCAATTTTTATGGATCACTATCCATGATGGTCTAAAGCACACGTGACTGATTTACAATTAACATCAAGCATTTGGATGGACCTACACATCGCTCAAAACACTCCGATCATTGACCTGCAATGGTTAAATGAATGATTGATTAATTAGTTGATTAAATAATTAGTTGAATGGTTATGTAGTTGGTTTCTGGGTCGGTCGGTCGGTCGGCTGGTCGGTTAAATGCTTGATTGTTTTTTTATTAGTTCGTTGATTAGTTGGTTGGCTAGTTGGTGGGTTGGTTTTTTGGTTGCTATTTTACTGGTTGGTTGTTTGGTCGATTCTCTGTGTGTTTCATTTTGTCTCATGAGTTACTTTATTGAGGGTAAATTGTACCAGACACAAGCCAATCGGGAGATTCTTTTATAACTGTTTCAAGGTGTATGTTGGAACCAAAATCAAATTTAGTTGTTTTAATCACGAAAACCATCCTTGTTATTCCAGGTTCCTCAAGCATTTGATTCAGAGAAATCATATTATCCTCAAGATTTGTTTTACTATCAACTAGCAAAGCTCAAAACATCAATATTTCTTCTTGTAATGAATGATCTCTTTTTATTTAGTTATTTTAAAAGTTGAGTCCAATCGCACATGTTTTGGCCAAATAACTGTTTGGTAAAGCACATATTACAACAGTTAGTTAGGTTTTAAGGCGCGTTACCGTTTTGTTTTTCGAAATACTTTTTGTGTCAAAAACAT